CCCCCCCATAAGCTCTTTCACACCCTGACACCTCCTTTCGCTGATGCTTTTCATCATACAGGTCCAATGACCCTGCTCTCTTTGCTTTCTCAACCGCCACACTACTCTTTCCTCCTCCCTGCTCCCTTTCCTTGTTGTGACCCAGTGGTTGTTTTGACAGCGATTTATAGAGTTGAGAGGAGCTCTCAGTTCCCAGGTGTAAAATCCTATTACTGCCATGAGAGGCTTGGGGATTCATTTCAGCAGTCTGTCCAGGAAGAAATTCTCCTTTAACTCTCATTACATGTTCCTATCTGGAGAATACTAATAGAGAGAGTTGGTATCCTATTCATAGAGTGAGGTTGTACTGTCGTACTAGGTTATATGTTCACTCATTCGCTCTTTTAGGGCAAATATCTAAAAAACACCTTTGTTTTAAACATAATTTGCTTGTGGTGCTGGCTTCTCTTGAAAGTCAATGTGGAGTGAGCTTTGTTTTTGAATTTTTTAAAGGTTTTCCCAGCTTCAGATATTTTCCTCTCAAGTGTGCCTCAGTGTGCTATTGCTGAAGTGCCTTTTAATAATATCACAGGGTAACAACTGATTTACGCCTTCATATTTGCATTAGTACCTCTCACATCTTGTGTTGAAAATATCCAGGCTTCCTGAGGCAAATAGTTAGGTTATTTAAACATTTTAGATTTCTTATGATTTGACATATTGGGAGTTGATTGGGCGATGCAGACCAGAAGTGGGTTATTCTGTGCATAGCCTTGCTTGTGATGGCAGTGACTCTAATGCTATTAGCAGCAGCATGTAATTTATGGAGTGTTAAGCTGGGGAAGTCTAGGGATGTCAGTTTTCTCCCATTATTCTCTATAAACTTCCTCTGGGGGTTGGAAGCAACAAGTGCATCATGACAGAGTCAACACACATACCTACGTATCTGCACACAGACATTTGGCATACAATTAAAATGGGAGAGAAATCTGACAGAACTGGAGCTTTGACGCGTGAAAATTAGTTCCTTAGCAATTTTAGGCCTTCTTGTGTCTCCAAATCTGTGTCGCTCTCCTCTCTGCCATCTCTCTACTGACTGCTCATTGGTTCGTTTAACCTGTATTATTGTACCTTTCATTCACAAAAGCTCATACAGTCCCAACAAAAGATTAACCCGACATCTCCTCTGCTCTTTCCAGGCTGCCAGCCCCTGCCTCTGAAGATTCTTGACTGGGCGGATGTGGAATCCATGGTGGCAGTGGCTTTCTCCTGCATGGGCATCCTCATCACTTCCTTTGTCACCTTTGTGTTCATCCAGTACCGTGATACACCTGTGGTAAAGTCCTCGAGCAGAGAACTCTGTTATATCATCTTGGCAGGCATCTTCATGGGCTACATTTGTCCATTCACCTTAATCGCCCGTCCTACAGTGGCCTCCTGCTACTTGCAGAGGCTCCTGGTGGGCCTTTCATCTGCCATGTGCTACTCTGCCCTGGTAACCAAAACTAATCGCATTGCCCGCATCCTGGCAGGCAGCAAGAAGAAGATCTGCACCAAGAAGCCCCGTTTCATGAGCGCTTGGGCCCAGGTGGTCATCGCCTTTATGCTGATCAGTTTGCAGCTAACTCTGGAGATCACACTCATCATTCTGGAGCCTCCTGAACCCGTCAAGTCCTACCCGAGTATACGTGAGGTCTTCCTCATCTGTAATACTAGCAACGTAGGCATGGTGGCGCCACTGGGCTACAACGGCCTGCTAATCATGAGCTGCACCTACTATGCCTTCAAGACGCGGAACGTCCCAGCCAACTTTAATGAGGCTAAATATATTGCCTTTACAATGTACACTACCTGCATTATCTGGTTGGCCTTTGTGCCGATCTATTTCGGCTCAAACTACAAGATCATAACCACATCCTTCTCCGTCAGCCTGAGTGTAACAGTGGCACTAGGGTGCATGTTCACGCCTAAGATGTACATTATCATTGCGAAACCAGAGAGGAACGTCCGAAGTGCCTTCACCACATCTGATGTGGTGCGAATGCATGTTGGAGATGGAAAGTCGGCTCAATGCGGGACAAACAGCTTCCTTAATATCTTCCGCCGGAAGAAACCTGTGTCTGCCAAAGCCAAGTGAGTGACATTTTACGTTGTTCATCTTGCTAGATTCTGTTTGTTTCGAGCCAAAATTATAACATGCCTAAACACTCAAATGGTACAGTGAGTTGTCCAAAGCTGATTCATTTGGGGAATTTCACTGAAAAAATCATCAAAAGTAACATGCAAGTGCTCATTTTTCACAAGAATATTTGAGTGTTTATGCTTGATGTTAATGGTCAAATTTTTACTTTTCAGCACCCCAATCTGTGTAAAGCCAAACTGTAATTATTTATTTAGAAACAGTATGAAATGAACACCGATTTATGTGGAACATCCCCTTCCCCCTGAGGGGCATGAAATATTATCAATGAAATGAAGCTAAATTTAACAGAAAACACAAGACAGGATATTTTGATGTTGTTGATTTAAAGCTAAAAGGCCATGCTGATGCACCAGTGATTATTAATGTATAGATAGATGCATCTAAACTAGATATAAGACTTGCATGTAACTTTTTTGAGATCCACAGCAGTGACACATGGACAGGTATCTAAAGTAAGGAGTGGGGCAGAGTATGAGAGTGATCCCGATCTGTTCATTGTTGTCTCTCACCCTTGCTATGCAGCCTTTTCTAATATTTTAACCCTTTAACCTTCCAAACTGAGCAGCATAGTGTCTGAAAAGTGTAGAGGCTGGCAAATGTTTTGGCATGGTGGTCATTCAAATCCTTTCCTGGAGAGCTGCACTGTCTACTGAGACATATTTTATTATTGTATACAACCAGAGGATACTTCTAGACTCTCACTAGATCATAAATTGATCGTAAAGAAAATCAGCGTTTGCTGAGTTTGCCCAAAAATCTTATAGCCGAAGTCCATAATTCCCTGCACACTTTTTGCACGACATAGAGGTATGTTGTTGTGGGACGTTGTGTGGAAACGTTTTTTAATTCTATTTTAGCTATTGCATTGAATTGTGCCATCCATCCATCCATCCATTTTCCTCCGCTTATCCGGGGTCAGGTCGCGGTGGCAACAGGCCAAGCAGGCTGACCCAGACTTCCCTCTCACTTCCCTTGAATTGTGCTTGTGTCACTAATGAGTGACATAAAGTAAAAGGTGTAGCAAGTCACCATTCATAATTTGTTTGGCTCTCAGCTTGAGTTTGTTGAGTCCTTTTGTATTCAACAACAAATTTAACCAGCCTATCTGGCAGAATTAAAGGATCACTTGCCTCTGTGCTCCTATCACTTATGCATAGGCAATGGAAAAAAGGATTTTGACACTGCAGCCCTCCAAAGAGGAGATCTGCCACCCTGCTGCTTTTGGTTTGTCCTGAATTAACCTCACATTTAACTTTTCTCAGCATGAACGCCCCTCTCCTCCCCCACCTCCACACTCCAACTATAATCACATTAGAGCCAGTCCTAGTTCATTCTAAACTCTGTGTCGTCTTCAGCCCAGCTCAGGCACCAACTGAATTATTGATTCAGAATGCATGCGTCTCATTTAAACTATATAAGCAAATAGTGAAGACGGGAGGAATTAGCTGGTTGGCTCCTAATTCTGTAGGCTTAATGTTTGAAGCAATTTAAAGATCATAATGCTTTCTGCAGCACATTATGACTCACTATGTTTGTGAAGTGCCACAGTTGATACATGTAATGCTCCTTAAAGCTCATGAGTGAACCCCTTAGCAAAGCTGTTAATGTCAAGTCGTGTGGTTAAAAAGTATTTTAACATGCATCAGAAATGTTGGAATGCTGCTGCTCAGTTCTGTTACGTTGCTGCTATGTTGATGTTGTTTTTTTCCAACCACCTCCCGGTTTCCTGTGTTAGTAACTTGGGTCTTTATCTCGTTCATAGTTCTAATGGCAAGTCTGTGTCATGGTCTGAATCAGGTGCAAGACACCCTCCGAGGGGAGGGAATGTGTGGCACAGACTGTCTGTGCATGTGAGGAAACAGGAAGCCGGCTTGAATCAGACGGCGGTCATCAGGCCCCTAACTAACACCGCCGACCCCCGCAGTTGTGCGCCTTCCACCTGCGACTTTGGCACAGAACCCCATCCTCCCCGACAACCGCGCGGCGCTAAGCCTCTGTACAACCTGGTGGAGGAGGACGACGAGGGAGATTCTCAGCGCCCTCTCTGGACCCTGACTTGCCCTGGACAGACGCAAGGGCTGGAGTCTAATTTAGATAGGCCGGCTTCTTATTTGCCCCCTCACTTGAAGGGTAGCACCACAGAGCGCTTGCAGGGGGCTGTGGTGGACACACACAGCTCCTATGTCCCTGCACTTAATGAGCACACCGCCAGGGAGGCAATCCCTGCTAATGAGCCTTTGAGCTTGAACTCTTCGCAGCTTTTTTTGGCCCCACAAGTGGGGGTGTTTGAAGAAGAGGGGTCCGAGGATGAGGAACTGGACCTCTTACACAGCTACATTTATGATGCCAAGGAGGAGGGGGAGGACGGGGAAGGCGAGGATTTAACTCAATACAAGCCAACTCTGGAGGATTCCCTAGCTCTGTCGCCCCCCTCCCCCTTCAGAGACTCTGTGTGTTCGGGGGAGTCTGTCAGCAACTCCCCCATCATGGAGTCGATGCTCGGAAGCCCTTCGAGCTCAGTCTACACCTCAAACACCCTCCAAGACTTCGCACACAGCTCCTCAACACTGTGAGAGCATAGCAGGTGCTGACACATTCCCACTTACAGGTTCATGCAAACACAAATATATACAGATACTGTACAACATTCTTTTATTATCATTTCAAAGTTTTTAGCATTCATCTTTTGCTCCGTCGTTTGGCTTGCTTGTGTGTACTACTCTGCTTTTACAAGTAAGGGTTTGATCAATATTATAAGTAGAGAAACACCAGGAATCATCCATGAGTGCTCACATTCCTGAAGGGCTGTCAGTGATCAAAGCCTTTTTGTAAAAAAATGTAAACTGGGAAGAGTGCCAAAACTAGTCAGCTCTCATGCCAAATTGTGATGAATTAAGCAACGCTGAGAATCATAATGAAGGATGTAGCTGTAGTTCTCATAACGGCAGTGCAATTAAATGGTCTAGGAGAGACAAATGGAAAGACAAACACACTTCAGTGTGTATATAATCTATGTGCACCGTAAGATACAACCAGATTCCAAACTGGCTCTTAGGACCGCAGTAGCTGAAGTGCATTTCATGCCAGTTTTGATTATCTCTGCTCCTCTCTGCTGCACACGTACAGGTCTGTTCATGTGTGTAGCAGTCGCAGCTGCATCGAAAATTATTCGCTTTTTGCCTTTTTTTCATTAATCAATTTCACTTCAGCTTTCGCTGGTCTGACCTCATCGCAATTAAAGTATACAAAGATATTAATTAACAAAAAACGTGCAGTAAGTTGGTTGATTATTACTTTTATGTGTTGCCAGATGTGCAACAAAATATTATCACTGAACTGAGATTCTGCTGAAGACTCGCGCTGTAAGATATATGACATGGATATAATGTGCCAAACAAAGTTGTTATCAACCTACATCTCTGCTTTCGATTTTTACGATGTAGCTGATACAGGTTAGCGTGATTGTAGATGATGGCGGTGTTGTTTATTTAGTCTACACTCAATCGTAACAATGAGAACAAGTTTTATGAGCATGGGGCGTGATAACAGAACTACTTTTGCTTTCCATGTGGATATTTCTCATGTTTTCTGAGTTTGCTGTGTCATTGTAATGAAAAACACAGTATACTTGTACAAGTTCTCAAAGTTTGTAATACTGTTAAGCCATCTCTTGTTTTTCACACAGGTGGTATGTTTGTAATACTGATAAATGTTTCTATATTTGTGTCAACAGAAAAAAAAAGAGTTTATACATTTTGAAAATGTCCTCAAATACTTGTCAAAGAGCAGTGTGTTTGGTTTTTGGGTAACTTTTAAGCTAACTTGATTGACTGTATCCTCTTGAAAATATTCAGTTGTAAAGGTAACCGATGATTAGTTGCTTCTTGTAATGAGATTATACATGTTTCAATTTTGCTTCAATCTTGCATTATAAACAAGTAGTTTACTTGAGGTTAAGTTTCTTAGTTCTTTATCTATAAGAATGCAAAATTTATTTCAAAGTACAAGACTATACAGTACATAGTGAAATTGTATTGTATTTCCAAATGTTTTTAGTCTATTATAGTGTAAGTTGTTAAATTATTTTATCCAGTGTAAAATATAAGAGGGTGCCACCTGTTTAACACTGTCAAATCTAGAGTGAAATAGGCCTTTATGTTTTGGGCAAGCTGAACAATGCTGTAAAATAAAACGATTTATATTACGAAGACTGATTACTGCCTACAACAGCCTGGAAACCGGGTTGTCATTATAGGTTCAACTGCAAAAAATCTGAAAGACTCACCAAGCTCAATATTAACTGAAACCAATGTTTCCAAAATGTTGGGGGCAATCAAGGATCCTTAAGAGGTGTTCAAGGCATCTCAAGCTAAATTATAAAGTCCATCTGTAGCCTACTCTATTTGAGCTTCTGACACTAAAAGGCTTTTTTTCATATTCAGCTGAAGAGGAAAAGTTTTTCTGAGCTCATCTTAAAACCCACTTTAAGATGTCGGCGTATGAGCATGATTTAGGAACACGACAGCTAGTTTCAAGTCAATATTTAATTTACACGTGGAAACTTGAACCCTCCAGCACATCAAATATTTGCCAGATTTTTTTTTTTCAGTTAATAATTAGACTTTTTCTCTCAAGAAAAAAAGCACATCAGAGAAATAATTACTCATATAGAGCAATATCTTTAACATATCTTTTTTATCCCACACTCCTCAATTTAGAAGACAATGGATGTTTCTTTGTGGAGAAAAAAAAAAGAAGAAATCACACACACGAAACAAAAGTCCCAGTGTCTAACTTGATGGTAAAGACACGTTACATGACAAGGTTTGGGTGCTTTCTGTAAACATGAAAAAGTTTACAGTAACTTCAGCAGCGCGAGGAAGCTTGAGTGTGAAGTTTCTTACATTTCCGGGTCCTGTGACTTATCAGGTGGTTGCCGAGCTGCAGCAGGAGAAGGAGGAGCGGAATAAGAGAAGGGGGGGGGGGGGACAACAATTTCTGTTGCATCTGGCCCTCAGCCCTCTCTGGCCAGCCCCAGTCCCACAACAACTCCTCGCAGGAAGCAAATACATGCGCGAGAAAGCAGAAGCTGCCCGAGTTTAGCGAAACAGTGTCAGCATGGCCGGGGGCTCGGTGTTCGAGTGTAAGGAGTACTTGTTCAAAGTGCTGGTCATCGGGGAATTAGGCGTCGGGAAAACGAGCATCATCAAACGCTACGTGCACCAGCTCTTCTCGCAGCACTACAGGGCGACCATCGGAGTCGACTTTGCGCTTAAAGTCATCAACTGGGACAGCAAGACGCTGGTGAGGTTACAGCTGTGGGACATCGCAGGTAAGGACACGCTCATTCGCTTCCATTGCGTGACATTAGGTGTCGCACAACTGAAGCAGGTGGTTTCACCGCCAGTGGATGTGAAGCTCAACTTTTATGTGTGCGATATGCAGGGAAGTTTCACTTCCACAGGTTGCTTGCCCGAGAGTTATTTCACAATGAGATAGATACGTTTAATCAGAGTTATACTCACTAACGTGTTTAAATTAACATTGTGCAACATGTTGAATTCCCACGATGCTCAAAGAAGCACGATAGGGATTTCCTGCAGAAGAGACCGATTGGACATGTCTACGGGTGTCTTTTCCACTTCATGATCACGGCAGCTCATAATTGTCAGTGGAATGTAGGTCACGTTGTTATTACCGACTGAGCGCCGCCCCCTCCGTGAAACTTCCCCACAATAATATTCTTGTAATACTTTCTCTCGGGATTAAACTGTGTTTATAGCTGCACTAAGTGACTTCACTGGCCCTTGTGTTTATTTCTCGCAGTGTTTCACGTTGCAAAGTCGCTGTGGTGTTCTTTAAATGTGTCCCATATGTGACCTCGTGCATTTTGTGAGAGGATTTCAGTTCAGGAGGATTTCAGTTCTTCCTCTGAGCTCCTTCACTTGGCTCACACAGCAACCTGTGCGTTCCAGCAGCCTGAGTAAGCAAGCCACAGAGAAATCCGAGCAGTGTAAATAAAAGTTTCTCACGTGCAGGCGTTTCTTTTTAAACTCTTAACTGTTTGTTCATCTCTCGGCACAGAAAAAAAAAAAATCACACTGCAAACAGAGAAGTCTGAGAATGGCATGCATGAGAGGACAGGTGAGGGAGGAAGTGAGAGGCAGACAAACCAGCAAACACAATGACTGACTTTTAAATGTCGACCAAGCTGACAGATTCAGCAGGAATGTGGGCTGGTGGGTGGGTAAAGGGTGTCTGTGATGTCCCATTAGTCTCCTCTCTCTCTCTCTCTCTCTCTCTCTCTCTCTCTCTCTCTCTCTCTC